TGGCGTGGTGGTTGTGTAGAGATAGTGACTTGCGCATGAATTATTTTAAGTGTTAGTAGACTTGCGGTCAATCTGTTACACTCCCTCTTCCCCATCAGCCAGAGCCTGGTTTCCAGACAGAGTTAAGAGGACCGGAGACGGGATCGGGGAACAGCTGGCCGGAGCCATCAGGCCTGACTCCGATCCCGCAGAGTGGGATAGGAATAAAGGCCATGGGAGGCTGGTGCCTGTGCCTGCACCTACGCATGCTACAAAAACAACCCCCGAGCCCCCTGTTCGGTATTTCTTATGGGAGCGCAACCCAAACAATGATTGTCATGCGCAAGTCTGGTCCGGTGTCGGTTTAGTGAATCCACCACCTGACACAAGACCGTAGGCCAAATTATGACCAATTCACCTGAAACCCAATATATGTAAACATGATAATAATTATTGAAGCTTATTCCCAGTTCTAGCCGGAACTTCGACATACTAGGTAGTAAATCGGGTTTCCACGCTCAAGTGTGGTGTGCATACAGGACAAAGCAAGCTATGCCTCTTCTATGACGGGGAAAAACTGATAATGCAACTTCTCGTTCTCTAGTTAAAACAATATGTTGTTGAGCGTGTCTCTAATTCGGTAAGTTTCCAGATTAAATACGCAAGCGGAACCCGACCTTTTTACGATGCAGATCAGACGATGCCACAGGGACAGTGCGCCTGATGCTCATGACCACTGAGATGCAGAATATGGATAACTTTGTGATAAAAGCGGACAGCTGGCTGACACTGTCTGCGTAAGTGACCGAAGTAGATGTATACATTTGACTTGTACTTCCCCTTTCAACACAATGGCCTATCCTCCCTGTGACTGACAACCTTGGAATGTCCGCTCGCACTGCATTTCGATAAAGCCGGAGTATTAAAATGCTGAGGTCATATTTTTAAATACGGGCTGAGTTAGAAGACTTTATCGCTTACCGTATTCCATTTTTGACTTTCCTATGCATAGCACGAAATGGGTTGCCTTGAGGACAAAGTGAACTGTGACAATGCCTGGATAAATGTAACTGCAATTCACATACAAGTGCCAGGCTCCTACCGATTTTGGGAGCTGCTGCCACAGGTGAGTCCCTAATTCGCGTCCTTTAGTTCTGGACCAATATGCTTTTAAACAGTTTTGCAGTTTTTATAACCAGGCCTTTTTTGGCTTCCTTCTCCCCATCAAGCCTGTTTTTCTGGCAGGTTAGCTAACTTTCACAAGAAAACCAATTTCATTTAATTTAGAAGTCGTTTGTACAGTTATTGCGTACCCGCTGTTCTGAAATCATGTTCACCATGTTCCAGCTAGTAAGCAGTGTGGAAAATGGACTTCATTACAAGATACCAGCCCCTAGAGTATTTCCGAGACACCTCGAACTAACCACGTCGTTTGTGACGTACAGCTGACTTCGGGAAGCACTTGTGCAGTGGATTGTATATCTCATTAAATTTCAACAGGAATTCTGAAATGTATTTTCAGTGCGAACAAATTACTATAATAGAACTATAACACTTTATCGCGTGCAACAACTTCAAGATATTTCAGTCATACTAGGATGCCGGCAGCTAAACTAATTTATTTTTGATCGCCTGCAGAAGCGTACTCTTTAAAAAAATGGTTACTTAAATCATCTACATTTCCTCAATAATTCTGGACACCGTTATAAATTCAAATGTGTTCCATAGAGGACATTCAAAGAAGTATTCATTCATGTACTCATATGGTAGATATTTGAGGCTTCGTAGTCTATATCTAAGAAGCCTAGCTCTCCATTCGAAAATTAAACTTTCTAAATTGCCGATTAACTATGAACCCTACCGGCCGCTACATTAAACGTCTCCAAAAGATATACTGCATACACTGTGTCAAACGAACAGTACAAATTTTTCTTTGCTTTAAGGATAAAATCACATTGATCTCATAATATTTTGCAATGGGTGCGGACCATGTTGCATAGCTTATAGGCAACGCTACTAAGTTGACAGATATAACGCAGTCCGAATGATCATTTATGGCCTTCAAAAGTTTCGTAACTAGAAACTCCGTTAAATCCGAGAAGTTCCGAAGTATGACATTTAATGAAAATGCACTTGATTGTATAGTGAGTACAAAAAAGAATATTTTGGCGTAATCTTTTAATCATATACAATTGAATTTTTAAGGACATTTATGTCGATGAGAAAAGGCATATTATTTATGCAGTGATCGTGTTTGCTTTCCGCAGGCTGCCAGAGAGAACTTAGTTAAAAGCCAGTATCCTCATGCAACTGAAATATTAAAAGTCAGTTTATGGCAACCGATTGTTTTCAGCAACTCGTCACCAGGCCAAACATTTGCAAGGGAAATGAACGCTGTACATAACAATTAAAGTTTGAATATGTAGAAAAATCAATGACTGTCTAACATGGGTGCTGACTGGCAACTGCGGACTATGTCAGTTTGCGCATGTAGGCCATATCAGCGTGTTGGTTGAGAGACTGCCGTTAGTTAGTAGGGGCGAAATGCTATCACCACCTGGTGTCAGTATAGGCCATGGAAATGTAAGAGCTTGTGTCAGCGTCTTCTGACATGGCCTACACCGACACCAGGTAGCGATAGTATTTCGCCCCTACCAACTAGTGGCAGTCTCTCAACCAAAACGCTGATATGGCCTACATGCGCAAACTGGCATAGGCCACAGTGGCCAATCAGCACCCATGTTAGACAGCTATGGCTTTTTCTACATACTCGAACTTTAATTTTTATGTACAGCGTTCATTTCCCTTGCAAATGTTTGACCTTATGACGAGTTGCTGAAAACAATTGTTTGCCATAAAGTGACTTTTAAGATTAACTGAAATATCTTGGAATTGGGCCGCCAGATATTCAAAATAACAATCGTACTGAAGGAGTATTTTCGAAGGAAAAGCCCAGTTGAGAATTTCGATTTTCGTTTTTTGTGGTAAAAAATCTACTTTGGGTCTTGTTTTGCCCATACAATGCACTTGCTTACTCCTCTTAACTTCATTTTAGCTGTTTGCTGTCAAGGATGTCGAGGCAAAGTGGGAGATTCTGTCTTCTCTGCCACCAGTACGTGAGAGTCATCTCCAGGCTATAGCAGTTTTTAATGAAAAGCTCATCCGCGCATAGACTTTCCTGTTCATCCGAAGGCTCGTTGTGCAAACCACCCTCCTACCCCCTCCCTGTCTGGCCCTCTGACTCGTGTCTGGGAGCTGTGCTTCCAAAATTGATGCCTCCAATCCCCCGTCCCCCCTCCTGCTCCTCGGTTTAGCCCGGTGGATTGTGCCAAAAGTCATAATGTCCCCAATGAAATAACAGTAGGCTTCCGCTGTATTGCGCTTCGACTTTCGTGTCTTCCGTCCAACATGGATTTTATATCCAGATCTATCTAAATATATATGTATATCCGACCTTTATGCGGACAGCGTGACTTTTTATTTCTGGCAAGTACTTCATTAGTTTGCCTAGTCGATTCTATACACGGCGCGCTAATGGTTGTAGTACGTAGTAAATGAAATTCCTCAATGCTTTTAGACACGTATACTTGTGCATACTATATAAGCAGTGTCTTAACATAAATATATTTAACGAATCTTCCTTAACAATTGAGAAAATATGCAGGACATATGCGGTATAATGGTATTGGAAATGTGAAAATGGCTGGAAGGGAGCATACAAATAAATAAAAGTTAAGTCGGTCACCCACATTTGATACCTCTAGCCACAAAAACCCTGCGTGTTATCCTTGTGTTATTCGTTTAGTTTAATTGTTAGCTTACTTTTTTTGCTAATTACTTTATTTTAAATCTAAGTTTAGTTTAGTTTTTAATTTAGTTCTTTTTGCTTAGTTTAGGCTAGTTGCGTTAATTTAGTTTAGTATATCGTAGCTACTTAAGTATATTTATCTAACATTGGCGGTAGTTAACGAAACTAAACTACAAATAAAATTAGACTGATAAAAGTTAAGTAAACTAAAATTAATAAAACTGAGCATGACCACTAGATTTAAGTATAGGGGTTTCTCAGGTGGAAGACAACTTTCACCAATGAGGGCTTAAAAATAACTTCGTGGATTCTAGCCTTTCCTCAGAAGATGATCGTCCCTTACTGCAGTAACAAATAATACGTGCTTCGACTTTATTTGGGGGAGTTGTCAGTGTTTTCAGCCCACGTAGACAACTGCACGCTTGACTCCCTTCGCTATCTCCACTCCCTTCCCGATTCAGCCTATCCGCAGCGGACAGTACACATTGTCGGAAGCTGACTGTCTAACAATGATTATTTAAGGTAGAAGAAAATTACAACCAATAGCGAGGGAGACAGAATTAGTAATACCTCCATTATTAGATGCAATCAACAAACCATAGCCAAAATCTCGGGGCTCGAACACGCGACCTGCCAAAAGCACTAACTATTGAGCCACGGCCTCATTATATTGCCGGTTCCGATGAGAAATATTAATATGGGTGGAAGAGCGTTTACCGATAGCTTACGGGAATTACTCGTCTCGTCTTGCCTCAGGGCTCACCTACGAGCCCTGCCAGCAGCCGCACAATGGTAAACATTATAGGCAGAGGAATATTACCGAAAAGTTGCACTGGAAATCAATGACAATTGTATGGTATCTTACTTGATCTTCGTTAGCAAATATGGATGACATCACAAAAAAACCTAAAGGCAACAGCCGTCCTACGGAAGTGTAAGAAATAACCCGAAATACTGCTTCAAACTAAGGTGTACCGCAAACCTGCATTTCCTGGGGTTGTCTGTGACTGGCTGATGACGACTAATAAATCAGAAATGGCCATTTAATTCTCCCCATGTCTCTTTGACCAAGGATCATTTGCTTATTAAAAAACTCGCGGCGTCGGCAGGAGTCGAACCCGCAATTGGGTCAACTAAATTAAGCAAATCTGCCAAAACCCTCGAAATCATTTGCGTATGTTAAAAAGCGTTGTGCGCCTCCTAGTGGCGCTTGCGAGTGAGCCATAAGAAAGAATGGGAAAAGTGGGTCCTGTTATCGATTCATGAGCGTTCATCCGTAGATATAAATACTCCCAATCTAAACCGGCAGGACAATGGCTTAATTATTAGATTATGGGAATTCCAACCAACCGATCACTGGTTCAAGCCTTGTGTGGCACATCATATTTTGTTGCCTATGGCTGGCTGATGACAGTCAAAAAGCCAGAAATTGTCATTTGAGTCTCCCCTCCCTTAGTCCACCATGTGCACCAAATCACTTAAGTCGTCTTTTCTGCCCTGAAACTCACACTGAAATCTGCGCGAAGATTTAATCAATGAGGTCCCCTACGGTACATTTGGCAGCTTAGTAAAACCTCCGCAGTGCACTGACAGGTGGTCCGTGCAACGGACACATGACAGAAACGCTAGACTACACTGAACGCGAATGGCCGAGCCCGCGGCAGTAGCGAAGCCATAGAAACACGCCAGATCTCAGCTAGCAGCTAAGTTGATGTGTTTCGGTCACATTTTATAGTTTCAGTGGGCTGTAATCCTCACAAGAGGTGACAAACACGTAAACCGGGTGCTACTCGGTCATAGTTCCGAGGACCTAAATCCATCAATAAATGCAATGACCTGCCGTTTGGAAATTCTATGTTAAGAATTTACCTGACTAGGAGAATCACCCATGTAGGGGGGGGGACATGGGTTATCAGCAATTTTTATGACAGCGACCAAACCTCAAGCGTATGTAAAACGTCAACATCCAACACAAATGATGAAATCACGACTATTACTGTCTCATACGCGGACTGATAAGCCATAATCGCATCAATCACGAGCATCGGCGATGATATCAAGACATGCTGATTGTAGTACGCATATAGTCGTGTAACCATTACCCACTGTCTCTGATATTGGGTTTGAGTGAGAATCCAAAATGTCAAAACCGATTTTTCCTTCATCCCTAATTCCTGTGAAATCGTGGTCCATTATGGATAAACAGGGTACGTGTGGCAGACAAAGAGGACCATTTAGCTCCACACCTGACCCTGTATCCTGTCTTCTTGATTTGCTCATGACCATGGGCACAAGAAGGTGAGAGGAGGGCGGAGAGCAGCCGATGTTGTGCGAGTCTTATACCACCTTAGATCACTTCATGCGCAAGTCACTGTCTCTACGTCCATAATTATTTGCCGCACATAGTGGAGATCGTCGTTCGCAACCGTCTACGGTTGGAGAGCTATAATTGTACGCATGAAAATTAAAATAAGGCTAAGTGTAAAGGTTAGCTGCAGCCTCAAAAACTTTGACGATCAGCCAAATTCTGCGTCGGGACCAAAACCAATATGAGGATTCCGTCCGTCGTCAAATTCTGGCGACAGATATTCCGGGATATAATGAGTATGCTTATGAATGAATGCAAAGGTTCGCCTTCCATTTGTTTGCGTGAGGTGACTGTTCGAGCCCCGACACCGTTTGTTTCTTATTTTGAGTTTTCATACTCGTAGAGAAGTTCATCGTCAGATCATAGAAGCAGCAAGAAAAGGGTGACAACGAATAGCTCCGTTCCCTTAATAAATGCTTGCAGGAGGAACTGACGCCAGGATGCCTACGATGTAAGACCCCCGTCAACAAGACTATGGGCAAAGAAGTCGTAAGACGATTTACCAAGCAGATGAAGGGCTTTATGATAGACCACTGTCACTGACCTCTGCAAACATAGAAGGCTATGGTTGAGGAGGATAGAAGAGGAGATGTTCACCTTTGCGTAGTTTCGACCATCGGAACGCTTTAGAAGACGGTCGCTGACTGGGAACATTATAGGCAGACCAAGAAGAGGCAGGTTTTGGAACAAAGACGTTAAAACCGGCAGTCACTATAAGCCCAGATTTCGTCCACAATCTTTTGACTAAACAGTTAGCCGAGCAGTAACTACGCGTGCTACGACACGAAGCTTGTTTTAAGCCTGCAGATGCTGACCTAGTCGATTTTGTTGCTATCCTGTAAACTATGGTCTTGAAAACTGAAAAGCCAATAACAAAAACGCTCCCTCCGACAATGTTTTACATCTTTACTGACGGCGCACAATGCCTTTGAAAAGTGAGTCGAATGCCGTGAAGGTTCCGAGAATAGACGACAAAATTAAAATCCTAGCGCTGATAAAGAAGGACTGACTGCTAAGATGCACCGAAAACACCACAATGAGAAAGCTAAGGGTTTTTACAGAGCAGCACAAAAGTCACAAAACCATAGCGATATCAGATCAATTGACTGAACCACTTAAAAATTACCAGCCAAATGAAAAAAACTGATACCACGCTTGTCCTATTCTATGGTATTTCAAAAGTTCACCAGTAAAGTGTCCCAGTACGGCCTACTGTTGCATTTGTGACGGATTGCCAATAATGTTGTCTGGCTTCCTCAGGCAATGCCTACTGCCACAACGTCAGGCATCTTTGCAAGCATCTGTTTCCGGCTTGCTGAACTAAAGACTCTTGTCCGACATCCACTCACACACACACGCGAGTCTAAATACTCTGGGTTGCCCAGGGACCATTTGAAAATGCTACCCCTCAACCAATGCAATAGGGACATCTACAAGCGATACCCCCACAGGCAACGCAAAACACCAATAGCACACCGCTTGAGCCCGCTCCAAAATCACGTAAAAGCAATTGTCCTCAGTCTCTGACACACACAGCCACATGCTCTCGAATACGACTGGATGCAGTCAACGCTCGTTTTGGCTTCGCCAACGGCTAATGCTACCTAAGGCGGCGACACGGGGTCCTGTGCATAATAACACCTTAGTTCTAATGACTTCTGTGATTTACCTACAACTTGGACTTCAAACTGACGGTTATGGTAATCCGAGTACAAATTAGATTATTACGCCCAGTTCTGTGGAAGAGAAGGTGTAGGACGTCTGTTGTATACAGAAGCTCAGTGGTAGTCTGAAGGGTTCGACGCGCAGCAGGCACGGGGTCTGCAATTTTCCCTGATATCAAATTCACAAGGGAAGGAGAAGAAGAGCAGCAGCTGTGTTTTCTTGATGTCCTCGTCAAGAGAATGCCCAACGGTGAAATTGAAACGATGGTTAACTGGAAGGCCATGAAAAGCCCACATCTTCTCAGTTTTCTTAACAACCATCCGGTTGTTCACAGACGAAGCTTTGTAAATATATCCGGTATCCAGAAGAGCTTGCGCCGCAGTATCAGTTTTCTTCGTCGATGCGTTAGTAGTCTATCAAAATAAAACTTGGTGCAGCCTTCTGGGGGAGAGGGAGGGAAGTAATGGAACTGCCCGACCTTCCATCGAGCTAGAGCACATGGCAGAAGTGCAAAACCAGCCGACATTCACTGAACACCTTGAACACACTAGTCTTCAGATCGAGGCAATTTTTATTTCCACCACCTCGGTACAATCTCTTGTGACGTATCGCACGGTGCCTCCCGACCTGTACTGCCAAAGGAGGTGAGACCAGACGTTCTTGCCGCGATGCACAATCTTGCTCATCCTGGCATACGCATTACCAAGTGCCTCGTCAGCTAGCGTTTCGTCTGGCCAAGCATGAATACCGATATGCGCCAGTGGACTCGTTCATGTTTTGCCTGTCAGAGGGCCAAAACCGGACAGCACAGTAAAGCCGTCAGTGACACCTTTCTCGCACCCGACGCGCGTTTGGCCCATGTGCACATCAATCTGGTAGGCCTTCTGCCAACATCCTATGGTGGCAACTATTTACTTACTGCGATTAACTGATTTAGGAGTTGGCCCATCGCAACTCTAACTCCAAATAAAACTGCTGATTCGGTTTTTTGCAACAATGGAACACATCTCCTGTTTGGCGTCCCCTCAACTATTTCAACCGATCGAAGCCAGAAATTAGAGTGTAGACTTTTTGACAGCTTAACGACCTCCTAGAATGTTCTCGCATGCGCATGACAGCATACAACCACTCTTCAAATGGTTTACTCGGGCGTTTCCATCGTCAACTCAAAACCTCGAACCAAGCTCATAACGAAGTCTCCCATCGGTGCGAGCATTTACCTGTGGCCATGCTCGGCATCAGTACCGCAGTTAAGCCTCAATTGGAATGCTCCGCTGCCGAACTTACTTACGATACTACCTTACGGATTCCCGTAGATTTATTTGGAAATTCTCAAAGCCCAGTCGACTTGGATCCTAGATACTGGGGGCAAAGACTGCGTCCAGCAATGGCTAGTCTAGAAGTGACATCTAAACGCGCTCCAGCAATTAAGTTGTACCTTGACTCTAACTTGCTAACGTGTTCCTTTGTATTTTTCCGCGTAGATGGTGTTCGTTGGCCACTAAAGCAGCCAGTTGGTGGGCTATTTCGAGTACTCGCTCGCATGGACGAGGATTTTAAAATTTCCCGTGACGATCGCACCGAATTGGTATCAGTCGACCACTTGAAGGCAGCCTATACCGAGCTTCTTTCAAACGTCCCAACAGGAAAACCTCCTCCACCCAACTCAATTCCTCTCGCTATTTTCCAGACTCCGCTTTCATCTGATAACCCTGCGTCTTCCCTGTCCCACGAACCGCCCTCGGCACGCGCAGTAGCCGTCATTTCCGTCTCCCTGGTAGTAATCAGCTCATAAATTATGCTTAACACGTCCACGTTTTCCTCTCATTAGCATCTCTTGAGCTACGTTTTTCTAGGAGGGGGAGAATTGTAGGGAAAAACTGCTGTTTGCTTTATTAGGATAAATATGCGTGGTTATTAACTTGACAAAACTGTAAGTAACAAACGAACGTAGCACATTGTTACTCAGTTGCTGAATAGTTTCTTTTTACTTAAATGGCGTAAAGCTTGGGGAAATGTATATCTTATATGCAAGGAAAGACATATTCGTATCCAACACGTTTATGAATTCCATCATTACTACTAGCAAAAGGCAGTCATTGATTTTGCATTACTGTGCACTTCCGTTCGGGTGAGCCCGTGCAGGTGAAACTGTAGGTATATAACCGGCCGATAAACTTATCGCTGCTATAGTGACCACATATATTCTCAAAAGTGAGGGTTGCGGAATGCCATGTGATGCAATCTAAGGACAGACTACCCCTATCGAACTTCTGCAGTTTTCTACGAAGTATGTTGCAATCATCGTGACTGCAACTACTTCGGGTTTCTGGACACAAATTGTAGACCCGCCTACACGAGCATAAAGTGGCAGGCCAGAGGCTAGACCGAAACTCACGGCTCGCAAGTCATACTGCTGAGACTGGTTATACTTTTGAAATACAAGGAACGATTATTTTAGGTTGAGATATGTCGAAAATAAGACGGCTAATGATCTAGGTATGGCATTCAAATGTCAACTTTATCATCAGGCATCTAAACCTCCTTTTGGCCTGTAAAGCCCTGCACCATAACGTACATAAAACAGAACAGGAAGGTCATACCGTATTTAAGATGTGTTAACGAAGAAAGCCCCATGATAAATTCATCGGAAGAGAAAGCAGGCTTGCCAGCATTTTCCACCAAGGTGGTGAATCGTAACATCAATGGCTGTCATGCTATACAAATATCCATGTCAGGATTTTGGCAGCAAAAAATAAAAAAATCGATCAATCCAAGGACAAAAAGTAAGCCAAAACTCTGATTGATATTGGCAGTAGACCCTTGGGCGATGGAGAGGTGGTCAAGTTGTCCAAAATGTCAGCAATAGCCTTATCTGTTTCGGTGACCAACTTAGAGTTCCCCAGTACTCACATACACCCAAACCCATATTTGAACAAGGCGAAGACCACGAGTTGAGCAGAATTTAATGAAGTCATGAAATTTCGTGACCTCTCAATCAGCTGCCGATGGTCGTTGCCTATTAATAAGAGAATTAACTGTTCAATTAAGTGTCAGTCTCGAAGGGTGAAGCTTGATAGGTAAAGGGATTAGAAACAATTAATCATAGATGTGGGCGCATGGTGTGGGGTAGAGAAGGGGGAGGTAATTGTCACGGCATGGCAGTTCATGAAAGCCTGTAGGACGTGGTTAAAAGGGGGGCGGGTTGGGGCAGGGGACAGAGGGCAGGGGGCAGGGTAGTAGTCAGTCCTAAGGGTGACGAAGAGGCGTAAGCGGGAATGAGTTTATCGATCGTTACCACGGCAATGCGAGGTTGATCACATGGTCCAGCTGCTCACGGAGTTCTGGCTTGCGGAGAAGAAAGTCAGAACTCTGTAAGCAGCTGAACCATGTGATCAACCTCGCACTGCCGTGGTAACGATCGATAAACTCATTCCC